CTCCTCTGATGGATGGACAATACAAAAATGGACTAGCATGAATATTGATAAGTGTTTCCACTACACTGCCATTTCGGCATGTCTCAGGAAGTCCTGAGCAAGGTCTGTGTTGAGTTTAAGAAGTAAGGAATCCTTAAATTAAACACTTCTGGAAATGTGTGTGTTGTCTGGAAGCAGTGTTCCTGATTTCCAATTCAGTCCCTTCATAGTTCAGCTACGGAAATAGACATTTCGCTGCAAATTCATTAGTTCAGCAGTAAGACAAGTTCAGAGGGCCATCTTTATTGGATTCATTGAAAATTACAGAATAAGTTTGTTAAGAGAAAAAATAGAGTCCTTTAGAAGAAAAAGAAAAAGAAGCAAGCCAGAATGAATTTCCTTGAGCATCTAGTTATAAAAGCTGATGATAGCCAAGTGTTTTCCTGCAGAATCTCCCAGGGGTAGATAAGCAGAAAGGTAGAGGCTTAGGACAGCAAATGTGTAGGTGTGGGGTAGGTTTGACCTCAGTTCTTCATCTCTCCTTCTTACCATATCTGTTGCCATGTGACTGCAGCTCATCCCCAAAAGGGGACAAGTGCATTTTCCTACCCTTTGACTCTGAGTTTGGCCATCTGATTTACTTGAGCCAAAGGAACATTCACATATGTAATGCAAACAGAGACTTAAAAAAACACTTGCTCAATTGAATATATACCCTTCCACCTCTGCCACTGCAAAGAGAAGAATGTGTCCAGGTTGGCTGGCTGGTCACAGGAGAGGCAGAGAGACACACAGAGCAGAGTTGCCCAGCCAGACTCAGTCTAGAAGAGAGCTTTAGCTGAACAGATGCATGGAGCAAGCCTAGCCCAGATCAGCCAATCCCCAGCCAATTCCTAGATGGATGAACTGCAGTACTGAGGGACTATATGATGGTGGGTGACTATTGTTATATAATAATTAACTAATAGAGGTGTTATGAGATCATGTTGACTCCCCAGATCACTCCATAACCTCAGAATAGCTCTAATATCATAAGGGTTAATAACCATATGAATCTGCAGAGAGATTAGTGGATATTTGCATCATGGATCCACTATTCCTATCCAAAACCACAGAAAGCCTTCTCTATTCTAAGGAAACATCCTAAGACTTTTTCTGAAAGCTCTCACCTTGGTTTGAGTTACTCCAGAAGTTAACTCAGATGAGGGCCAGGGACAGTGGTTCACACATGTAATCCCAGCATTTTGGGAGGCCAAGGTGGCTGGATCACTTGAGGTCAGGAGTTCAAGACCAGCCTGGCCAACATGGTGAAACCCCATCTCTATTAAAAATAGAAAAATCAGCCATGCATGGTGGCACATGCCTGTAGTCTGAGCCACTCAGGAGGCTGAGGCAGGAGAACCCAGGAGGTGGAGGCTGCAGTGAGTCAAGATTGCATCATTGCACTCCAACCTGGGCAACAGAGTAAGGCTCTGTCTCAAAAAGAAAGGAAGAAGAAGTTAGCTCAGATGAAGAATCAACTACTTGCACATAGTTTAAGTGGTGTAAGTATGGAAGCACATGATGCAGGGGAGGGAAAGCAGACAGAACAGGAGATGTTACCAAGCTAGCCACAGCTGTGGACAACTGGAGATCAATCCCACTGCAGGAGTCTGAGTGCCAGTGTGGAATATACTCAGAATAGGCTCCTCCAAGAGATGGGGAGCTGGGGTATTTCTTTACTCCTGCCAGTCATTGGCTAAGGGCTGCCCCAGGGGGAATGATCTCCAGGCCCTTCCAGGCTGCCGCACTAGCAGCGGCCATAGAGCACCCTCAGTTTGGGAAATGCAGGTTCTTGCAATGGGCATTCTGACAGTTCTGCAGCAGAAGTGGTACAGCAAAGGGATATGCACAGAGCACTGGCAGCATTTGCTACAACCCCGCTCTGGTGTACCTCAGCACGGGGAGCATGAAATCTTGGCAGCTGGGGTGCCAGGCAGGATACGCACATGCAGGTCAGATCTTTGGACCAGTGGGACGTTATGTGCCCTGACAATAGCCATGAGCGCTCCCATGCCAACTTCCTTTTATACATTTGCACATTTTCCTGTCACTTCCCAGTCCTTTCTCATATCTTCATACCACTGTTTATGGTATCTACCCCACTGGGGTGAAAATGGGTGACAACACCCATGACTGGCTCTTGTTGCAGCTGCCCACAGTCTGATAATTTAGGTCCATCTGGTCCATGAAGCAAGTGATGCTCCCTGTGAAAATGGAGACACACGGCCTGCAACCTTACAACACACACAAACACACTGTCAGGCTTCCCTCTGAAAGGCACAACATCCATGGTGAGAAGTACAGTCAGACCTAACTCCACACAGTAGCTGTGGGTTTAAAAACTATGTATTTTCATCAGTGCTCCTCAAACTTTTTCATCAAACTTCCATTATCAGTGGAAGAAGGTAGATCATGTACCCCTACTACTAGTAGCTCAGAGTGGGATTATTTGAATATAAAAATGTTTGATTCAACATTGAGTGTCATGGACATGGAGTTTTTGTCTACCGGGATTCTTTTCTAGAAGGAAAGCATAGTCTCCCCGATGCATCACTGCTGTGGGGCTGTCATTCATAATGGCTTTGGATCCTTGGTCACAGGGCTGGGCTGCAGATGGGTGAGGCCAATCATGGTACTCCATGGGCACATGCTTCCAGCAGGGCCAATTGAAGTCTCATTTTACTTTACTTTATTTTATTTTTTGAAACAGAGTCTTGCTCTGTCACCCAGGCTAGAGTGCAATAGTGCCATCTCGGCTCACTGCAACCTCCATCTCCTGGGTTCAAGCCATTCTCCTGCCCTAGCCTCTTGAGTAGCTAACAGGCACCTGCCCCAACGCCTGGCTAATTTTTGTATTTTTAGTAGAGATGAGGTTTCACCATGTTGACCAGGCCGATCCTAACCTCAGGTGATCCGCCTGCCTCAACCTCCCAAAGTGCTGGGATTAAGGTGTGAGCCACCGAGCCTGGCCTGAAGTCTCTTTTTAAAGTTGGTGTATGAATATGAAGAGAAATAAATTATTTTTCTTCTGTGGGTGGCTAGGCAAAGAGAATAAGGATCTGGAGTTGCCAGCAGTCAGTTTAACTGTAACTTGAAGAAAGCCTCCATACAGAATGAGGCCAAGCAGAGCAGAAAGATGGTAAAAGCTACAGCTTCAACAACATCATTGGAGCACCTATAGCCAGCCATAACTGAAGCTTCATGGGCTTCCCAGATGAGTGAGCCACTCCAAAAAGATGGGGGGAGGTGGGGTGGCAGTTGCTGAAGTTAATTCATTTGCAATTAGAAACTTTATAAAGTGGTTAGTAAGACAGACGTTCCAGCAAGAAGTGCCTTATTTACCCTGTGGTTTCATATTTCCCCAGCACATATACCCTAGGAAAACATGAGGCTGGATTTAGAATCATGACCTCACATCTTTATTTCAGAGATGCTTTAATTGCACCTTTGAGTATTCGTCATATCAATCAGCATTGATTCTGAACACTTTTGCTCTAAATTTCCCTGGCCCTCCTGAGCCTCCCCAGCTACCTGGGCCCATCTGTTTCCTGTGGTACCTAAAGGTCTGTTCCTAACCTCCTTGGGCCCTCTGCTCTCCACTTGACATGGCTCTGTGCTTAGGCATCCTCCTTCCCTGACTCCCCATCCCCATCTTGACAAATAAAATCCACGCGATATTAGCCACTGGGAAGGGGAACTTGGAACAGATTTCTGAGGTCAAAACAGAGAGGACTATACCAAGGTGGCATGGCATTGCAAGAGTGAACTGGGAAAACTCCCTGCTATTGAAGCAGTCATTTGGTTTTCAGGAACAGAAGGCAAAGGCAGGGTCCCAACCCTAATACAACAACCACAGAACATTTCTCTTTTATTAAGAAACTATGGGCTGGGTGCAGGGGCTCACATCAGCAATCTTCAGCATTTTGGGAGGCCAAGGCGGGTGAATCACCTGAGGTCAGGAGTTTGAGACCAGCCTGGGCAACATGGTAAAACCCAGTCTCTATTAAAAATACAAAAAAAAAAAATTAGCCGGGTGTGGTGGTGGGCATCTGTAATCCCAGCTACTCAGGAGGCTGAGGCAGGAGAATCACTTGAACCTGGGAGGCGGAGGTTGCAGTGAGCCGAGATTGCACCATTGCACTCTAGCCTGGGCAATAAGAATGAAACTCTGTCTATAAACAAACAAAGGAAGAAAAAAAGAAACTATGATACGTGTAGCACTAACATGTTCCCGAAGCACACAAAAGAAGTAGCAGGCAGGCCCTACTTTCCAGGCAATTTTAATTTAGCTAAAGGATAAAGTAAAAACGTAGAGAATCATCACAAGGTAAAATAGAACCAAGTGCTTGGCAGAGCAGGAACAAGGGTATTGAGTAATCAGCAGATGAGGTAGAAGGGCTGAGTCAGGTGAGTTAGCAGGAGAGGGACTTTTGAAGGAAATGAATCCTGAGCCAGGCCCTGAAGAAAGTCATTGACAAAAGTAAACTCTCCAGCGGGGCCACAGGGGAAGAGGCTGGGCTGTCTGCAGGAGTTGTGTAACTCGCATATGCTCTGACCTGTTTGTCTGTGAAGACTCAGGCCAGCTCTGACGCTATTTAGCCTTGATCTGTAAGTCTGCACAAAACCACTGTCTTGGTTAAAGAAATGTATGTTTGGCACAAGGCACACCCTATAGATGATGTCATGTCTATAGATCAAAGCCAGGCTAATGTCACCAGGCAAGAGAAGACTTAGAAAACACAGTCTGTAGTATGCTTTTTCTTTTTTTAGCCTTCTGTTTCCAAGGTTAATTTTTAGGGTGAAGATTTTCATCTTGATTATAGCTTTTGGTAAATGAAGGTCATTTTTAAAGTTTGATTCCTGGAAGTGAAATGTAGAATTTATGCAAACACAAATTCTTGATATGTTAATTGCGCTAATTGAAATAGAAATCCTCTTTAAAACAACAACAAAAACCAAAAATCTGCTTTTGGCCTTAGGAGCGGAAAGCGAATGAGAGACATAAGAATGGAATTTGCAGATTGTTCTTTCCTTGCAAGAGACATCAGCTGAAACACGGTCTTTAGCCATAATGAAAACACATTTTTAAATTCCTTGCTTATTCTGGCAAGATAAAAACAAGTTGTAATGAAACCACTTCTGTCAAGACTAGAAGCTTTGGCCTTATCACCATTGTTAAAAGCAATCCAAGAAATAATATTTAAGGCTAATTTTGTTGCCCTTTTGAAGAGACTTTTGAAATCATGAAGAAAGAAAAAAAAAAAAAAGAGCCCAGACAATAAGCTGGATTGGAAGGACGAGTTCCTCCTTGGCAGCCAGTGTCGAATTACACTGTCCCCAGTCTGTGGATAAAACAGAATTGTGCTCTTCAGTCTGCCAATCCCTTACTTGACAACCACTACAAAAATGTAACAATAACTGAAACTGACAGCCCACTTCACCAGATTGAGAGTACATCCGAACTTCTACAGAAAGACAGCTGGATTAGAGTTCATTTCCCTGGAGGCTGGGCTGCAGCAATACCTAATGAAAACGACGATGGGCACGTATTTATTTCCAAGGCATTTGTAGCCTGCACTCTGGTTCCAGTCTTATCGCAGAAGCAAGATCAATTTTCACGTCTTTTCACTAAATGGATGGGATTCGAAATTACTCCTATTGACAATAAGCATTCTCAAGGGCTGTGGTAATTGTGTAGCCCAGCGCAGCAGAAAAGAGGTGCTAACAAAAGCACATAGACAATTGGTTACCATCAATTTCCTGTGGCGTTGGCACATGTGAGTAAAGCAGAAAAATAAATAAATAAATGCAGTCCTGGGCAAAGCCTATGCCTTCTCCATTAGTAGCAAATCCAACCAGTAGAATGCAGGCGGCAGGGGATTTCTCCCCCAGCAAGCTCTGAAAAGTGTGCGGCACCCCAAATCATGGCCAGGATTTGTGGACTGAGAAACCAAGGGCTTAACCTTCTGCCTGGTCATTTCTGCATATCCGCTGCCCCCGCCCTCATCACACTCCATTCCTCCCATCTTTTATTCTGCCCCATTTGTGAGATGAGTGCCAAATGACCTCTTTGACAATGGACCAGAATGGACAGCTTCATTTTCATTCCCATCTTTAAAGGTTTGACCTATGTGAGACGCTTAGATTAGAAACAGCTCCTGGCTCCTGCCTTCGTATTGGTTTTGTCTCAAATGCACTGGCCTATATAACAGGAACAAAGAACGAAGACAAAAGTAAGCCCACTGGTGAGGTGAGTTCGGACCCAGGCAGAGAGCCTGATGGAGTATGTAAATGAAACATACCGCCCTTGGTCTTCAGATCTCAGATTTGTCTTGCAGATACCAAAAGCTGATCCAGCACTAATGGTACATCATTCTCAGGAAGGTACCCGTAAGGTCAATTTCCTCACTGTTATACAAATGATTTATTTCCTCTGAAATACTCCATCTAATTCAACCAAAAGTAAATTTAATAAAAAGCTCTTTATATGCTTGCATAAATATAACTTAAGAAGGAAGTTGCTATTTTGACAGTTTGACAATAAAGGGAGAAGCAATGGGAAAACAATTTTCATGAAGTACGTAAATATTGGATTTACAATGTTACCAGCTCAGGTCCACCTTTTGAAAATTCTGGTTCAGTTTGGGATCTGAGCTGTCAATCACTCAAGGGCACATTTCTTTCATGCCTTTGTCTGCCCAAAGTAAAAAAATAAAAATAAAATGTTTCTGTCCAGGTTTGCTATTAAAGAATTTCCTTTTTACGGTCCCAGAAAAACCAGATAGAAGAAGGAAACCAACATTTACTGAGTGTCAGACATCATATTAGTTACTGTATATACAGTGTATATTTCACAAATGCTATCTAATCTAATTTTTATAATACTGAGTAATTATCCAACCCCAGGGTGTTTGGCCTCTGAGCTTGCCCCCCCCCCCCCCGCATGCCAGTATGACACACTCTGCCAATTTTCAGGGAAATAGAGTACAATAAAATTTACTCAGCAGAAATGAAAACAATTTATTCTATTGTATTAAAAAAGACACTTTATCTCAAGTTTTATTTTTCTAAATGACAACTATCATGGCTTAGTTTTATTACTTGTACATCCATTGTAGTTAAAAGTAAGATGGATGTTAGGTTAGGCTGAATCTTTACTGATTCTGTTATATTCTAATATCAAATTATTTATTTAATACCTTTTCTAATAAAATGAGAGGGCAGGACCAGGTGTGGTGACTCACACCTGTAATCCCAGCACTTTGGGAGGCTGAAGTGGGCAGATCACCTGAGATCAGGAGTTTGAGACCAGCCTGGCTAACATGTCGAAACCCCATCTTAGGGGTTAACTGGGTGTGGTAGTGTGCTTCTGTAATCCCAGCTGCTTGGGAGGCTGAGGCAAGAGAATTGCTTGTACCTAGGAGATGGAGGTTTCAGTGAGCTGAGATCACGCCACTGCACTCCAGCCTGCGCAACAGAGTGAGACTCTTGTCTCAATAAACAAACAAACAAACAAACAAACAAATAGGCGGGGCACAGTCACTCATGCCTGTAATCCCAGTACTTAGGTATGCCAAGGCAGGCAGATCACCTGAGGCCACGAGTTTGAGAGCAGCCTGGCCAACATGATGAAACCCCATCTCTACTAAAAATACAAAAATTAGTTGGGCGTGGTGGCACATGCTTGTAGCCCCAGCTACTTGGAAGGCTGAGGCAGGAGAATCCCCTGAACCCGGGAGGCGGAGGTTGCAGTGAGCCAAGGTCATGCCACTGCACTGCAGCCTGGTGACAGAGCAAGATTCTGTCTCAAAAAATAAATAAAAATAAATAAGCAAAATGAGAGGGCAGAATAAAATGGTGGTTACTTGAGCCTTTTGGTTATATGGATTGTGTGTAGTATTGGGTATTATTTATTTGTTTGTATAGGTCCATTGTAGCATATTCCCAACCTTTGGGTCTGGCTCTTTAAGCAAATAAAATTAAAGACCTTAATTCTCCTAAATATTTTATTTTTTATTTAATGGTAAAATTAGACAACATTAACAATATAAACAGGCTCAAGAAGGGTTGAGAGAAATATATGTACCAACCCCCTCTGTCATTGCCTGCAGGCTGCTTCAGAGTGGAGTTGGGTGGTCATTTCCCAGCACTTTGCCTCCCACATGGGCAGGTTCAAGAAGGGTTGAAATAAATTTATGGATCTCAACTGCCTAATAGATTAAGAGAAATTAGGGAGTTGGGAATGTGTTCTAATTTCAGAGAGCAATGCCGTGGAAAACCACCACTCTTCCCCATAGAATGTTACTTGAGAAACACTGCATTTTTAATGCATTTTTCAAGTTTATTTCCATCGGCTTTCCTTCAAAACTCATTTTGCTTCATCACTATCTAATCTCCTAATTTTATCAGCATTTTCTAAATCTCCCAGGAGAAAAATCTGAGAATAGCACTTCCCAATAATGGGTTCTTTGAAATACTAAGGTCTGTGATATGCTAACAAGTTTCTGCCAAATAAAGAATCTCTTTAGGGAATACTAGATTAAAGCAAAGCACACAGGTCTCACTTCTGGTAAAGGCAAGTAACTCATGTTAGACCAATCCTTCTGTAGACAAAGACTAAATTCTTGAGAAAATATACTCTCAAAAAATGTAATCAACAACTCTTTGAAATTACTAAAAAATGATAAAAAATGGGCTATAATACTGAAGAAGACATTGGCATTGGATCAATGTCCCATTTTTACAGCTTTTGGTCCTAGAACAGTCTCTACAGAGAGCTGTTCCAAGAAGAATGGTTAAAACTCAAATAGAAGCTCAGTGTTACTTGGAGAACTAGAAACACAGTTCTGGATAACTATAGCAGCTAGAAACTGGGGGACATCTCAGAAAGGAGAAAACCATAAAGGAGAAGGCCCAAATTCTATGTATAAATCTCTGGCTGACATCTGAACCATGCATGCATGGAGCAGATTCCAAGAAGCCCAGCTAAAAATAAATTAACTGAGATTTTAGTTGATGTCCTTCTCTGGGAAGACAGAGTTTTCAGTTTGAGTTCAGCCAGGTTACCTTTCTGCTAAAACAAAAATGGAAAACTCTTTAAAGGAACATCATAAAATTCAGAATGTCTGTATCGTATCATTCACATTGTCCAGAATGCAATTCAAAATTACTCAGCATACAAACAAAACAGAAAATGTTACTCCTACTCAAGAGAAAAGATAATCAACAAAGTCTAACACCTAGATGACTCCAATATTGAAATTAGCAGACAAGGATTTTAAAGTAGCTATTATAACTATACTCAATAAATGTAAACGAAAATATGCTTATAATGAATTTGACCATAGAACTCTAAAGAACATCTCTATGGAACACAGTTTGAGAAATGCCATCCCAGAGATTCAAATGAAGCTTTCTGCAATTAGGCTAGAAACAAAAGATCCACAGTTTTGGGTTGACTCTGGTACTGAGTCAATATTCTATAGGACAAATGTAAGTCTGTGTATGAGTCAGAGAAAAAACATATGTCATTTACTTTGTGCCAGATAACATCAGTTCACAAAATACGTTTTGTTATTTTTGATTTAATGTAAAGTCTGGGCTTAGAAGAGTTAAATTACTTAGTTGCTCAAGGTTACTCAATTAGTAAGTATAGACTGGGATTCAAACTCTGTTTTGTCAGACTACAAAGCCCACACTCTTCCTTCTATTCTATTCCCTTGCTGCTGAAAGTGTGGTGTATGGACAAGCAGCTGCAGAAGTGGCCTGGGAACTTGTTAGGAATGCAGAATCTCGGATCCTGGTGAAGTCCTGCTAAATCAGAACCTGCATTTAACCATGGGTGTAATTTGCATGCACATTGTATTAGTCGGTTTTCATGCTGCTGATAAAGAGATGCCCAAGACAGGGCAATTTACAAAAGAAAGAGGTTTAGTGGACTCACAGTTCCACGTGGCTGGAGAGGCCTCACAGTCATGTCCGAATGTGAAAGTCATGTCTCACATGGTGGCAGACAAGAGAAGATAATGTGTGCAGAAAAACTCTTTATAAAACCATCAGATCTCATCAGACTTACTATCACAGGAACAGCACATGAAAGACCTGCTCCCATGATTCAATTACCTCCCACTAAGTCCCTCCCACAACATGTGGGAACTGTGTGAATTATAATGCAAGATGAGATTTGGGTGGGGACACATCCAAACCATATCACACATTAATGTTTGAGAAGCACTGGTCTATACCAGCGGCAGTGTAATCCCTGGATCAGCAGCATCAATATCACCTGGGACTTGTTAGAAATGCAAATTTTGGGGCCCAATCCCAGAACTATGAAGTCAGAAAAAAATCTGTGTTTTAACAAGCACTTCAGGTGATGCTGATTCCTACTGAAGTCTGAGAACCACTGGCCTATTCCCTGCTGCCTCACATGAAAAGTCACTGAACCTGGCTAGAAGGGGAAGTCAGTGAAAGGCAAAAGTGAATGAAAATTGGATTTTGACAAAAATAAACCAAAACCCAATAGGGTAAAGTTTCAAGTAATAACCTATGTGAAGAAAAGCATACAATTTTACTAAGAGACATAAAAAGATGGCAAATCTAAAATGGCAATGCTTTACAGATTAACATACCCACTTAATATCAGTTGAATTATTACCCAAGTGAGAAGGAGCTTGATATAGAAATTGTGAAGTTCATACAAAAGAACAAATAAGCAAAAGTAAGCAATAAGTAAAAAAAAAAAAAAAAAAGAAGAAGTTGGGAGGCTAACTACTAGAAAAGTATGCTAACAGAGCTACAATAAACAAAGCACAAGAATCTGTTACTAGATTAATGAGATTATGTGGCTTCTAACATAGTAATTTTCAAAAAGAAGGGCTTTTTTCAAACAATGCACGCCATCCTCTGGAAATTTTGTTAAGCCTCTCTTTATGATCAGACTCTCCAGTTATAAATCCTTACACACTGTGATTTTGAATTTTGTGGAGATAGCAAAAATAGTAAGAACAACTTCCCCATAGTATGTAAGAATTTAGCATATGATTAAAAGGGCATTAACAGAAGTATGAAATATTTAATAATTCATACTAAGGAAAATGATTATTTTGGAAAAAATTAAATTAGCGTCTCCCATCAGAATTTGTACTACATATATTTCAGAACATTTACAGTAGCTTAAAAACATGCAACAGAAAACATAGATTTAACTACATAATATTTTAACTTTTTTTTCTTTGAGATGGAGTCTTG